AGGGAGAATTGCAACAACAGACCAAAGTGCAAAGGTGCATCATTTGCCACTCGGAAGAGACTGTTGGAAAGTTTGGGTTGAGGAAGTGTATAGGGGTCAACTGACCTTATACAAACCTACAGATGAATTTCGAACTCTTCGTGAAGCCATGGGAAGTACTATTGCTTGGCCAAAGAGTAGTATTAGACTTATTTGATTAAGGTAAAATCCCTAGCTTCTTTTAATATTTAAGGAGTTTTTATGATTATGTTGGTTGATTTTCAGGTCAATTTTTTTCATATGAATTGAGAATGACGCATCTTTTGCACTTTTTCATATGTGAAGATATTAGTTAGACATTTAAATGCCACCTAAACTGGTGCTTAGATATTTGATATTAGTCACTTGTTTTTTTTCTAAAAATCATATGACGACATTCTTGCTAGTAAAAATTCCCACTATAAATTTCTTTGAATCTCGTTTCTAAGACTGAAAATTTGGAGTGAGCGTTTGAGGAAGAACTTGGAGATTTTGCTTGACTGGAATTTGACTAAGACTAAATGATGTAGGACTAAGCCGGAAAAAAATGGTCTACTTGGAAGAATGTTAGTCTTCTGTGCTTTCCTTGAAATAAAGTCCCTGGTATTAGCTTTATCAAATACTTGAAAGTTGTCATTATGTTTATGCATCTACAATTGGATAGTGTTTAGTTTGGTGTGAAGATTTTCAACTTGTACACATTATTTTTTCAAGTAAATTGCCTACTACCACACTTGTACTGATGATTTTTTAAAGGGTAAATAGCACAAAACGTCTCTACCTTTCAACGTCATTGTGCAAAACGTCCATACCTTTCATTTTTTGGCATTTTCACCCCAATTTTGACGTTTCATTGCGGAAAACATTATTTTCACATATTTTTAACGTAAAATGACCAATATACCCTTCTATTTAAATAAAATCAAAAAAAGAGAAGAAAAATAAGAACAAATTACAATCTTACTCCTAAACTTTTTTAAAAAGTACAAATGAGTCCAAATAAATTATTAAAATATTAAAAATAACCAAAAATAAAAATAAAAACTGTTTCTCTCTCCTTTTTTTTTCTCCTCCCCCTCCTCCACCACCACNCCACCACCACCACAAGAAATCTCTCATCTTCTTCTCCTTTCCCTCCCTCAGCCTCTGCTAACCCAAGCTCTCGTCGGAGGAGCCTTAATCTCCGCCACACAACAATCTTCTCTCAAATTCACCCACCCAATTCCACCTCTGTTCACTAAGCGCTCCCCAACTTCTCACGCCAAAACAGGTTGCTTAAGCCCCTTACCGTCGAGCCTTCAGGCAGATGCCCTTTTGCTTCCACCAAGCCCAGTCCCGCCACTGCCTCTATCCCCTTCAGTGAAGAAGAGCCAATATCTATTACGGGCCAAGAAAGTGTCCCTCTTGAAGGTGTTATTTAGTTCAAAAACCCAACTCCGATTCCTGTCTCGCCAAGTGGGGGTGCGTGATTTTTTTTATATTTTATCTTTGGTTTAAAATTTTTCTTCTATTGAGAGTTGTTTATGTTGAATTGAATTGGAGTTATTGTAGCCGTGTGGCTCTGCTAGCTGGTGGAGATGTGGCGGCATTGGTTTTGTTCTCTGCAATTGGAAGGAAATTAAGGCTCCTCCGACGGGAGCTTATGTTAGCAGAGGCTGAGGGAGGGGGAGGAGCAGAAGAGGAGAGATTTCTGGTGGTGGTTGTGGTGGTGGTGGTGGTGGTGGTGGAGGCTGGGGGAGGGGTGGTGAAGAAGAGGAGAGAGAAATATTTTTTATTTTGGTTATTTTTAATATTTTAATAATTTATTTGGACTCATTTGCACGATTTAAAAAAGTTTAGGAGTAAGATTGCAATTTGTTCTTTATTTTTCTTGTCTTTTTTTGGTTTTATTTAAATAGAAGGGTATATTGATTATTTTACGTTAAAAATATGTGAAAATGACGTTTTTTCGCAATGAAACGTTGAAATAGGGGTGAAAATGCCAAAAAAATGAAAAGTAGGGACGTTTTGCATAATGACATTGAAAGGTAGGGACGCTTTGTGCTATTTACCCATTTTTAAATTAAATAATTTCTTTTCAAAGTTTTGAGTGCTTTTTTTCCTGGATGAAGCTAAGGTGGAATAGGTTTATGAAATTACCCATAGAGTGTTTTTGGATGTTGACATAGACAAACAACGTCTAGGTATGGGCCCTTTATATTATTTTAGTGTTTGAAATTGTAATTTGCCATCGTAAAGTGGCATTTTTATTTGCATGTTAACATCAATTTATTATTGCTTCCTAACTATTACCAAATATTCTTTNAGGTTTATGAAATTACCCATAGAGTGTTTTTGGATGTTGACATAGACAAACAACGTCTAGGTATGGGCCCTTTATATTATTTTAGTGTTTGAAATTGTAATTTGCCATCCTAAAGTGCCATTTTATTTGCATGTTAACTTCATTTTATTATTGCTTCCCAACTATTACCAAACTTTGTTTATTTGGAAGGTGTCTAAGGTCTAGTTCCTCAGTCATCCAATATTTTCCTCTAGGTGAAGTACCAAGATGTTATTTCATTCTGAGTCCCACTTGCCCAAATGGGGGAATTATTTGTCTGAAGTCCAGGCTAAATGATATTTGATTTGCATCTCTTGCTTTTAATAACAATGGCCAATAGGTGTATAACATCTTCGTTATGCCGTATGTTTGAGCTCAATCATAATCTTCACTAGTTGTTGGCACTTGTTCGGAGTTGTATGGTATGTTATTTCAGGGAAACTTATTTGTTATCTAGATCACTTACTCATTTCATATATTAACTCCCGTTTGCCATCACTTGCTGTTTCATGATTAATTGGTGCCTCATTTCTGTAGAAAATGTGACCCAAAAGCATTCCAGTTCTTCATACCTCCGCTTTTTTCTTTTCTTCCTTTTCTCATTTCTGTAGAAAATGTTAAAAAGTCTATTGAAAAGTTAAATTTTTAGTCACTAAGCTCAGTAGAATGAGTAAGGGATGTAAGGATATAATTTGTATACCTTCAACTGTTGGTCTAATTTTTAATATCTCTGGTCCATATTTGCACATCAATGGTTTTATGTTGACCAAGCTTGCATTCACATGCTTATATTTTCACGATAACCCATCATGATTTTTTCTCTCTCGCGATAGCCTACCTCGCATGGAGAGTCACCCTTCCACTTCCACATCCAAGCCCACCACCTACCCACCCACCAGCCAAATAGTGTCCGACCAAACCACCGGCCTCACGCCACCAAACCATGGTCGATCCGGCCATGGAAGACACGAGCAGGTGGCGGCCCTAGGTGCAAACCCTAGCGCCGCCGCTCCAGTTTTGCAACAGGTCACTCCTCCATCAATTTTCTGGCCTCACGCGCCTGATCGGAGGGGAGAACGGGCTATTCCGAGCTCAGAGAAAGTGGCGCCGTTTCTGGGTGGCGTTCCGGCATCGCTTGAATCTCACGCGCCGGCGACGCGTGCGCCACATGCGCCGGTGACTGGTAGACAGCAGAACCTGCGTGATCTGCCCAGGTCATTCTACCCCCCCGTTCTACTGACAGACGCACAATTTCAACGGCATGCGGAAATGTTTGGTATAAAGGAGTTTAATCTTCGATTTGGAGTGGAAGCAAAGGAGTTTTTTGTGTCTGTTAATGAATCCGACATTGTTAGGTTGATCGAATGGGGACCGAGGACATTGAATACAGTATATATGGGGAGGTTTGGTGCCTTGTAGATGTTGAATATGATGG